CATGGCCAAGTGTGTGATATTCCCTCAATACCCCAATTACAATGTGCAGATAAAAGGCCCATTGTTCATTTCAAGTGTGCTATTTGCATTTGGAATCTGTTGCTGTCAACTCTCAAGATGAGATCCAAAGAGCTGTCACTATCAGTGAAGCAAAGATGTTAGAATTGTGTCGATGTCCCAATATTTCTGGAAGATGTTAGAATTGTGTCGATGTCCCAATATTTCTGGAAGATGTTAGAATTGTGTCGATGTCCCAATATTTCTGGAAGATGTTAGAATTGTGTCGATGTCCCAATATTTCTGGAAGATGTTAGAATTGTGTCGATGTCCCAATATTTCTGGAAGATGTTAGAATTGTGTCGATGTCCCAATATTTCTGGAAGATGTTAGAATTGTGTCGATGTCCCAATATTTCTGGAAGATGTTAGAATTGTGTCGATGTCCCAATATTTCTGGAAGATGTTAGAATTGTGTCGATGTCCCAATATTTCTGGAAGATGTTAGAATTGTGTCGATGTCCCAATATTTCTGGAAGATGTTAGAATTGTGTCGATGTCCCAATATTTCTGGAAGATGTTAGAATTGTGTCGATGTCCCAATATTTCTGGAAGATGTTAGAATTGTGTCGATGTCCCAATATTTCTGGAAGATGTTAGAATTGTGTCGATGTCCCAATATTTCTGGACCTGACTGTATGTATTTGAATCCATTTTTTTTTTTTAGCTTTTTTACATGTCCACCAAGCATGATAAAATGGCCCTTCATGTTCACATTTCCAACATTGAAATACCTTTATACATTCTGGATAATTTCTGTGGTGTCATGTGCCAGCAATACATCATTTTATAAAAATTCTCTTTAAGATCATAATATAATGTAAATTTAAACCTTTTTAACCACATATTTTCCCATTGACCCATCTGCATATTGTAACCAAAATTCTTAGCCCACTTTATTATACATTCTTTAACCTGTTCTTTCTCCATTTCAAATTTTCACAAAAGTTTATACATTTTAGCAATTACATGCTCATTATCAGTATATAATTGCACTTCAAATTTTGTCTTACTTTGCTCCATACCATAAGTCTTTTTATCCATTTTAAAACTTTCTGGCAGCTGTAAATGGGAAAACCATTGATAACTATGTCCTTCTATCATTAGTTGCTCTCTTGATTTAATTTTATATTCCCCTTGGTGATTTTCCATTAATTCTTGGTACATTAATTATTTGTCTTTGCCTGTTGTTTTTCTTCTATACAATGCTCTTGTGCTGAGATCCATAGGGGTGTTTTCGGGCACAGCCTGAGTTTATATCTGTTCCATATTCTGAATTTGGCACATCTAATAAAATGGTTTTTAAAATCCACATTAACTTTAACTTTATCATACCATAAATGTCCATATCCAAACTTCAGGTCATGGTCTTTTAACTCAAAGTTTTTTGCTTCTCAGGAACACCCGTTCTTTTATCCAAACCAAACAACAAGCTGCAAAATACAATTTCAAATCCCAGGAGCCCAATCCTCTTTCGACCTTTGCATCTTGTAACACTATATATTTAACTCATGTTTCTTTCCCTTGCCATACCAATTTAGATATATATTTTTGCCATTGCTTAAATGGTACATCAGTTGTCAAAACAGGTATTGTCTGAAAAAAAACCCATCATTCTAGGCAAAACGTTCATTTTTATCACAGAAATTCTCCCCAACGGTGACAGTTTTAATTTGTTCCATCTTAACATGTCCTTAATTTCATTCCATGTCTTAACATAATTATTTTGAAATAACATACAATTCATATTTGTCATAGTTATGCCCAAATATTTTACTTTTTTCTCAATCTTAGAACCAGTTTTCTCCATTAGGTCTATTTGATCTTCTATCTTCATTTTTTTTTTGTTAACATCTTCTTCTGATTATTAATCTTAAAAACTGCTAGCATACCAAAGTCCTTTAATTTTCCCATTAATGTTTCTACTTCCTCTAACAGATCCTCCACCAGGTCATCTGCAAATGCCCTTAACTTATACGTTTCTTTTTTAATCTTAACTCCCATGATTCTCCCATCTTGTCTTATGTCTCTATTCAACACCTCAAGAACCAAAATAAACAAGAGAGAAGACAGCCTTGTCTTGTCCCTTTTTGAATCTCACAAGGTTTTGTTAGTTCTCCATTAACAATTATTTGAGCTTTCTGTGAAGTATAAATTGATCTTACCCATGAAATAAAATTATCTCCAAGGTTCATATGTTCCAAAACTCTAAACAAGAAAATCAAGTTCAAATTATCAAAGGCTTTCTCTGCATCTAAGCAGATCAATGCAACTTGTTTTTCATTCTGTTGTTCCAAATACTCCAGAATATCCAACACATTTCTAATATTATCTCATAATTGTCTTTTAGGTAAAACCCCACTTTGATCTTCATAAATAAAGTCCTGTAAAATTATTTTCTACCTTTCAGCCAAAATCATTATAAACAATTTATAGCCATTATTCAATAAAGATATTGGTTGATAATTTCTTGTTAAAGTCAAGTCTTGGGCCTCTTGCTGTATTAGCCTCTTTACAACTATCAGGAATCTTTCCATTCCGTAAAATAACATTCATCACTTCTTGTAAAGAGTGTAAAAGTTCATCCTCAAAACATGTATAATAAGAGGCTGGCAGACCATCTGGACCAGGTACCTTTCCTGTTTTAGTCG